TTACCTAGGTCACCCGAAGTAATATGAAACAAATGAAATATTAATTTTGCAAGGAGTGTTTCTGGGAGCTTCATGGCAAGATCTCGTGCTTTAAATACTTTTAAACATATTTTAATTATTTTAAATTCAAAGATGTTAATCAATGTGTCATCTTCCACGGATCAAATATTTTCTTTTTACTCCTGAAAGTGGGTTTCAAATTACGAGGGGACCAGAAACCGAAGATAATGATTTTTTAGTGTCTTCGAAAAAAGTTAATTTGTAACTATAATAACCGAAAAGAAGAAAGTTACGACGGAGAGAAAACCATTTTCCCTCCTACGCAATTAGTATTGAGAATCTGTCGAACCTTGTAGACTTCATTGTTATTGGCCCATTGCTTTCCTGATAGAATTCCGTCGTTTCGCGCATGCGCAACTCGACGTTGGAAACAAGAGAGGTAGACATTGCTGGTGCGTTATAGCGAAATAATTATTTATGGTGACTTTCTGTTTTACATTTTTGTACTTTTATTTAATTGTGTTGAAATTCACTGTAAATTAATTTTCTATTGTCATATTTTAATATTCTCAAAATTCTTGGTTGGCAGTGCTGATTGAATCGGCACTTGGCCCATAATCGCGCCATTGAGTTTGCGTAGGTACAAAAATCAAATACCAAAATTCAATGTCAGTACTATTAGACACTCCAAATGGACTTGCGGCAAACACTGACATGCAAGATGGTTATAGGGAAAGTCTATCACAACATCGAGAGCGCTTTTTTTAAAACAAAACAAAATGTAAACAATACAATATTAAATGGATATTAGTTACTTTTTTTAACACACAGTTCGAAATTCTATGTAATCTTTATTTACCATTTTAATTCCTTCGAAATGCATTGATATTTGTTATTCTTTCATTGAGCCCTAGAAAATGTGTCTGATAGGAAACTACATTCTTTTAAAAAAACCAATTCATGAACACATTATATGAAATCAGTAAAAAAGACAACTTAGAAATTAATAATAACATTTACAATTCAATAATACTGCTTAAAACTTTATTTAAAAGAATATTACTATGATATGTATATGTTAATAGTTATTGATAGTTGAAACTTGTTGTGTGGAAGTACTGTTGATTATTTGTCACTAAATGTAATAACTAGGGAGTGGATTTCTATGATTTTGCATAGTTTTGTCTGTTTCTTCAGAATATATTTCTTGACATTTGGTTAGAATATGATGCTTTGTAGTTTTGTATGTTAGTGCATATTTTGCCGATTTTTCCTGTTGGTGCATATTCATGAAATTGTAGCAGCGTATTTCATTAAATAGAGACTTCTCTAGAACGTTTTGTGTTTTCATAGAAACTATTAATTTGTGAGCATTCATTCGTTAGAAAGAGCTTGTCACAGTTTCATTTTTTTTTCTATAGATGATAAAGTACTTGTACAAATGTAGGATATTTCATGATATATTTTTTACACCAAACAGAAAAAATAAAACAAGACATTCAATGTACTTCACTAAGGTTTATATTTACTTCAGTAATTTCTTTTGCGAAGTAAGTAGGTTATATTACGTTTGCACAAAAATGTATCTTTTCATTCGAAGCATTCTTCTCCGCAATTTTATCAAGATATGTTTATGCAGAAAATAAAATATTGTTAATTTTAATTGCATATTAAAGCGCATATTTTGAGAATTTTTAGGTCCTAAATGCATTATTTGAAATGCATATTTCAAGATTTTTCGTGCATAAAAATCCTTTCCCTAGTTAATACAAAGAATAACTTCATTGTTCCATTCTTTAAGAAAAGAAAATATAAACAATGAGAGAATAATTGATTTTAATTTATCTTAAATTAATGATAGTGGAAAATAGTAATTTAAACATGTTATATGACTATTTGTTTTAAAGTTATGTTTTTCAATTTTAAAAATTAAAATTATTATTTTTATTCTGTTTGTATGTCATTATTCTCTTGGTTATTTGAACTCTTTCGTATTGATTTGTAGAAGACCTATTAAGACTCGAATAGTTTGAATTGAAGATCTGACTAGCCAGGTTTTACCATGAAATTGCAGACTATCTGTTTCTTGAAACAGCTTGTGATGTTCTGTAAGCAGTTCAGTAAGCTGTTAAAGTTGATTGGAAGTTACTGAGAAGGAAATCTTGCTTCTAATCAATTGGCATTATAGTTTGGGGAAAAAAGATTGAATAATGAAATTCCTGATGGCAAAACTTGATTTGTTTTGTACAAATGGTCTAGAGTTACTTGTGCATTTTAATTTTCTTGCACATGCTTTTCACTTTTAGAGTCAAAAAGGAAATTATTTTCTTCTGCCATTATTGCATGTCTGTTTATCTTTCTCATATCAGGATTCAAACTTCCTTTCAGACCAGTGATGAATTATATCTCTCAGTAACACTTTGTAAAGCATTAAAAATTAGTTTCATAGTACTGTACACTTGTATTGAAATAACAAAAATAAGCTGAAGAAGTAAAGGTTTCTCTTAAGTGCCAGTGTCCGTTAAAGATTTTAACGGACCAAAATCAATTAAGAAAAAAAAAATCAGTTTTAGTGAAAGGTGCTCCTATTTAAAGAAAGGTATTTCTTATTTATAAGAAATTTAGTTACACAGTGGTATTACGAAACGTATTGCTAACGCACTGCCCATGGCAGATATCACAAATAATAAACTTGCTTGTCTTTAATCCTCTGCAATCACCTTGTCTAAAAACAGTATACATATCCTTTATTTGCTTTATATTGGCATAAAGGTGTTAATAACTAGAGACAAGTTCACATTATGAACCTTTTAAGCAAATTTGTTCTGCATCCATTTATACCTCTATTTCTTTAGACTAGTATTTTTTGTTTTCAACTTGCCCTTATTCATAATTTTGAGGTTATCTAAAATGATTATGCTTGTGTGAAAATATCCTACATGTCAAATATATCCAATCATATCCATGCATGGCTATTGAAATATTACATATTTGTAGATATCCTTTTGAAATCGTGTTTAGTCCAGCTTCTCTGTTGGTGGGCACTGGAGGACAGGTGGAATGGGCAACAATATGCCGGGAATTGAAATTTTTTAATTAAAGAGACTTTTAATAATTTTGATACACTATACTTCAAGCAACTTTGCTGTGTTTGTTCGTATTGTATGTTGCAATAGGTATTAAAATCACAATTCTTGTATATTTACATGTTTGAATACGTCAAATCAACTTCATTGTAGAAGTTTAAGTAATTTAACGTATGTATTCAGATTTTCTTGTAGATCATCATTTAAGGTAGTACAGTTTGTTGATATAGTGAGGAGGAATTGTTGACTTATAATAATGATTAGTTTTACATTGAATTTTATTTAATAGAAAATTATTTCTGACATTTTGATTTAAATAACATATAGGGTAAATACATTTTGTACATCCAGGTGTTGTTCTAATACTGTTAAAGATTTGTGAATGCTGTTTTCATGCAGGTTTAAAAGGTGATAAATTCAGTTTTAGACAGTTAGGTGTAATCACATTCACAAGTGCAATAATCATTTTAGTGCTTATGCTGCATGCAAGAAAAAATATTCTTTCTATCTTTTTTTTTAAAGTAAATTAAGTGTTTAAAGACCAAATTTTTGTGTACTACATAAGTTTGGATTTTACGTATTATATGAAAATGTATGTGTAAATGTATACTTTGAGTAATTCAACTGATGAATTTCTTTAGTGTTCAAAGCCTTAACTGTGGTATAACTGTATATAGAAATCATTTATTATATCAAAAAATTCTGTCTTGTTGGTGCCATTTGATTTTGTCATCATGTTTTGAATACTATATGTTTGTATGTTTTATATCAAAGGTCAATTGTGGAATACACGATATGTGCAATGTAATACATTGCTTGTAATTTATTTGTCAAAGGATCTGTAAGGGAAACATCCTGAAAACATTACATGTCTGAATAATTTTCTTTCTTGATTAAATGCTGCATACCCACCAAAAGGATGTACAAAAGCAAATAAATGGTGCATTATTTTGATTATTCAATGAGCCCTGATCTGTGAAATCTTATTTTGCCCTTCAGTAGGTTTAACTTGCTAATTTTTCATATAGAAATGCGAATCCCTCCCCAGCTCTCACCCACCCTTGTAGTAATTTGTATCACTTACTCCTCCCCTTCTAACATCTCATTTATTTACTTAATATAAAAAACTTGTTAAAAACTGTGTGTAAAGTAGGGGAAGCAGTACAATCTAAGCATGTTTTCTTGAACTCTATAATCCCTACTTCAGCTCTTACACTATAAAGTTGAATTATAAATACAAGTAAATAGACAATTTTTTATGATAAAATGTTTTCTCTGTGTGGTACTACCTATTTGTGATGGCCTTGAGTGTAAGCCTGATTTCACAGCTATTCATTTTCCAAGTTAAACAAAAGTAATTCAGTTTCAAGTAACAAAAGTAATTGGATTAAATTTCATGCACATTTTATAATAATTTTTAAAATATAAAGACAAGATCCATTTTTGATTTATTTCAACATTCATTTCTAGTTTTCAGTTCTAAATATATTATTCTCCCACAAATATTGCAGGAATTATAATTATAAACCATGTTCCATCCCCTTAATTTTTCACATTTGAAACCCCTACCCCACTCTAAAAGTGATAGCATTATAATAGCCCCGTAGATAAATAAATGGAAGGTAAATATTACATACTATGTCGTTCATGCTAGTTACAAAACCTCATTATTAGTATAAATGGAAACAAAGACATTTATGTTTTTAGGAACAAATTTAACAGCATTGGTATTAAGAACAAAGAAATTAAAATTCTAATGATGTAGTATTATGTCTTTTTATATTAATTATTAATAGCTAATCATGCATCTAAAACCTCCCTTAATTTTTTATTATATTTTTAATGTTAAGGATTCCTTTGCATTAATCCTATCCAATTTTGAAGCATATTAAAATTAATCATTTTCTTGTCTAGGTTATCAAGAGGAATACATATTTGGTGTCCAATAATTTTCAGTATCTCTGATGACTGTGATTGTGTGTCATTGATTTATTGAACTTCAAGAAATTGACTTAAGTTGGGCAAAAAACTTATATGATGAGGCAAATTCTTTCCTCTCTCAGTTAAGCCGACTGTGAGAGATGTGCATGAATGAATAATTAATCTTCACTTCCACGCTCATGATTAACAGAAAACACATATATGGTCTTCATATTCAATTTTGATTGTGTTATTGAAATAAATAAATAAAGTAAATGGATATAGTGGATTTAGAATCAGAGGCATCTGAGGAGTATGAAGACTTTCATCCGTCCAATCTTCTGGAGGTGGTTGTGAAAGAAACCGACAATTCAGAAACTGATTTAAAAAATGATTATTACTCATCTTTCTCTGGAGAACCATCATCAGATTTATTTTCTGGGTTTCATTACCTGAACCCAAGCCCTGTTCGAGATAACAATGATTTTCAGCATCAGAAAGAGGAACCAAAGAAAGGTAATTCTGATTTCTAATTTTGTGTTAATTTTTACATCATAAGTTACGACTACGAAAAAGATTTGTTCACATAGAGCAATAACAATTAATGTAAGACATAAAGATGTGATTTGAAAACAAGATTCTTGTCATTTACAATGACAACTAGCAGTAAACATGAGAAACTAGTGAGGGCAAAATATGTACATGCACGTTAGAAAAGGTGAAGAGTTGGATTACAAATAGATATGACAATAATAACAGCAACGACAACAATAATAATATAATAACAACAATAGTAATATAATAATAACAATAATTATAATAATTATAATTACAATAACAATAATTCTGAAACAAAAGAATCCTCTTTTCATCAATGCCATCTGTAATTTTTTTGAATGTGATTAATGTGCCTGTTACTTTCTCACATGTTTCTATGAAGTGTAGAGTAAGTTACGAAGTCCTGCAGTGAAAAGTATTATTTATTATATTATTGAAAAATAATTATGCTTCTGCATGAATCCTTCATCTCCTTCAATTCACTTTAATTGTCGTCTTATAGTTTACATGATATGAGACTTTCAGAATATGAACCTGAAAATGACAATGGAATAAAATTGTCGAAACAAATCAATTATCAATAAGAATAAATAATGTGAACACCTTATTTTTATGAAGGTTGATTATTTAAATTTATCATTGAGCCATAAGAAGGGATAATATATTTACACATAATCAAAAGTTAACTTCGGCTAAAATTAAAAATAAAAATCTTTCCTTTTTTTGAAAAAAAATTAAAAGTCCATTAATAAGTTACAAACATGTTTTATAGTATTTTATAAAAACATACCTGTATAATTAATTTTTGCAAGACAACCAAGTGCAATATATCTTTTTACTTTCCCGTATATGTATGCATAAGCGGAAAGTTATGTAATGCTGCGGAAAATGTGATTTTGAGATTTCAACAGATATACTCGATTTGGGGTCTGCAAATACCAAATTTTTTTTTTCAAAACTAGCGTCCGTATGTCTGGTATTTGTGAAGCTACTAGCAGATTCAGATGCCATGCTTCAGATTTATTCCAAATTGAAGAAATCCCTGTCCATCTTGCACGAGTCGACACTTTGAGTTGTTGAAAAGCGTTCTTTAAAATTTGGGGGTATTTTCCATGACATTTTCAAAATTTTCTCAAAAACAACTCCAAATCTTTTCTTTGAATTTCTTTCAAGAATAAAGTTAAATACACGTATAAAAGTGGCATAGGTCCGATTTTCTTGGTTAACTCTGAATTTTCGAAAATTTCAAAAGTATGAATTTTTTTTCGGTGTCTTTCTACAACAAAATTAAAGACAGAATTTTCCTTCAAATCAAATTTGTTCTCCATAGTGTGTTCTTTCATAAGTCATGTACATTTTTTGAAAATTTTAGTACTTTGTGTGTCATATGTGCAGTGTTAGAAAATTACAAAAACAAGATTTCTCAAAAACATCTCCAAACATTTTTCTTTAAATGATGGTAGGGATAGTGTTAAATGTACTCTGTTAGATGACAGAAATGCTGTATTGCTCTATTATTTTGTTTTTTCAAAAATTACAAAAATGTAACTTTTTTTTAACTTGTCTCTCGCATGGTTAATATTTTATACTAGCCGCAATTTGTTCACGTTATTAAATTTATGAGATCAAGTTGTTGAAATAATGCTGTGTAAAATTTCATGAAAAATAAGCTCTGCATTTCAAAATCGCTAAAATGCCATTTTCTCAAAAATGACTCCAATTTTTTTAAAAAAATTTTGAATTGTTAGTACTAATTACACTCTTTAATATTGTGAAAATTAATTTCTGTGTATTTTTTGTTGTTTTTTTTTCTTTTCAAATTTACACAAATGCGTATTTTTTGAAAAATGTCTCATGCTTCTAATATGCACATTTCCAACAATTTGTAATCAGAATTGTATTTGTGAGTTAAAGTAATTAAAATGACTTCAAATGAAGTTTTTCGAAACTGAAAAATTTCTGTGAAAAACAAGGTTCAAATTTCGAATTTACATTACCGCTTTACTTTTCAATCCCAATTATTGTTAAATAAAGAAGAATTTTTTAAAACTTAATTTTGAGTTATTAATTGAATAGTTTTTAGATTTGTTTTTTTCAAAATATGGTCTCAAATTTGAGAAAATTTTACCTGTTCCTCTCAGGCAACGTTGGGGCGCAAAGGTAAATGGTAGGTGATTGCAAGCAGGTGCATAAAAAATATCAATTTTGTAACTTATTAAAAAATAACGCTTGATAAAAACCTACAATTGATCTTTCATTAGTGTGAAAATCACGAAAACAATTTTTAGTAGCAGTCACAAATTCCGAAGTGATAGAAGTTGTAGGTCTGTGTTCATTAAAAACTTCGATTTTTTTGAAAATTGCAAGTGTCTTTTTTCATCTACAATTATGGAGATAGAGATGTTTCTATTAATGAAATCTGTTACTAACAGATAGATTTTGAAATAAGGTCATGTCCTTTTTTCGAAAATTTGAGTTTTTTTCGCGTAAATTTGTGAAAGTTACGGACGAGAAAGTATGTGCTGTTCTTTCAGCACCACTAGTTTCACTTCTTAGCCATTCGTAGACCTCCATTGAGACTTTTGCCCTTGAAAAAAAAAAAAGAGAAAAGAAAACACACATGAGTAATATTTATGGAATAAAAAGTGTGTAATATTAATTCTAAACATCTCAAAAAAAATATCTGTATCATATTATTTCCATTACTTTTATTATAAAAAGTTAATAAACTTTGTAACAAATATAAAAATATTACTGAAATTGGTTAATAAAAAAATGTAAAATTTATCCCCTCCGAGAATTGCACCCACAATCTTATGCACAGAGAACTGGCGCCGTTACCTCCTGTGTATGACCTTATAAAGACGTATGTATAGTTTGCGACAGTACATTAGAATTTATGAACATAGAGTGTATTACTTGGCTATAATAGATGTTTCATTCCATTTACATGCTGATACATTTGTGTTATTTCTAAAAATATTTCGTTTTCATTCGCTAATTTGCTGTGGCATAGAGAACTAGTATGGGAAAGCGTGTGCCATTCTGTAGCACCAGTAGTTTTAAAACTTGCGACATTTTCAATGTACTCGAGGAATTAATATGTGATGCACTAGTTTTCACACTACAGATGTCTCTAGTTTACAGAGTTTCCAATCTGTCATGTTTCTTCTACATGAAATTGAGTTGTTGAGATGTTCATTTTTGGTGTTCTTTGAAACATTGGTTCTGCTTCAGCTCCTCAATCTTTGAATGAAGCCTTTTTTTTTTAGCTGAGTTCAGTTTTACCTTAAACTTGAAGCTTACCTTTACCTTAAAGCTTTATATGATACTCATTTTTAAACCAGAATTGTATTACAACACCAAATGTTATAAATTAAAGAAAAAGGTAAAGAAACCATTAGCAACTTTGAGATAAGAGGAAAAGTCAATTTTATTCATGATTTTTGTGGAATAAATATTAAAATCATTGTGAAAACATTGTAAATAATATGTCAAAAGAACTGGATCCATTTTGGTGTAAATAAATGTATTGAGTTTTCTTATTGCCTAATTTAAGTTTTTAACTATCCTTATTTTGAATTCCTATTTTGGCCATAATAAAACCAAATGTTCTCCTTTTTAAATAAAAAACAACAAATATTATCATTTATGAATTATAATTAATATTTCACTGTAAATTAATTATCTCCATTAGATTAATAGGTGTGAAAATCAATCTTTTCTTTTGGGTATGGCTGAAAGCATTTTTTTTTTATTTACAGCATTGTATTGGAGAGTTTGCTCTCTTTGCAAATTTCGGGAAATTGGTGGAAAAGATACTGTATACTCCTATCACAGGTATGTTGTGTATTTTTGTGTATTTTATAATTGTTATTTTGATGAATATATTCTCATTATCTTTTTCATGTATCTTCAGAGTCAGCAGTTTTTTGTAGTATTGCATGTATACAACTTTTTAGGCGGGGGGGTTCCAAATCATTTACTTGTAATTACATAATTTTTGTTCTTCTTGTTCATTCAGAAACAGTGTAATAATTTGAAAATAATTTTTAGATTTCCATTAGACAGAAGTTTATGTCAACATTGGAAGAAAATATGTAACTTCAGTGACAGTGTTGATGTTAGCCATTTGAAATTATGCTCAAGACACTTCACAAAAGATGATTTTTTTGACCCTGATGCAAAGAATTGGGGACATTCTTTGAAATTAAAACCGAGAGCAGTACCATCTCAGAATATTCCTTCCACCAGCACCTCTGGGCAATCTCTTCCAAGAACATCTGGACAGCAAGAAAACCTTATAAAATCAGCTACCAGCACATCCCTTCAATCAATTACAGGGTTAGATGTAGTCAACAAGCAATTGATTGCACCAGTCTTAATTAGAGAAGAGAACAAGATGCATGGAAATGATGTCAGTTCAAGTTTTGGTATTTCTAATGAAAGGTTGTTACCTACGACAAATGCGATTGATCAGGAAGATTCTGAGCCAAAAGGTAAAGATCTGGAATTTTATTTTAAAACTTATAGTATTGTAGAGTATTTTTCTTAACTTTAGAGATGTATCCTAATAATACTACAGAATAGCAATAGGAAATTTTAGAAAAAGTACAACAAATAATAAAAATATAAAACAAGAAAAATAGAAGGAACTTGAAAAATTTATTTTTTATTGATGATTTTACCCAAATATGTCTACTCTGGATAAAAGACTTCCCCCTACTTTTGAAGAGGACTCATGAGAATTTTTAAAATTTGTAACCAATACGTACATAAAATTGCAAATTGTCAAATGGACTAGAAATTTGTCTTCTTGATGAGAATATTAAAACTTATTGCCTGGGCTATCACTATTTTCTTGTCCCTTAAAATTATCATAAACACTAATATCATAATTATCATAAACACACATTTTTGTCACTATTGTCTTTATCTTCGTATGTATCATTGTTTCTTTTTGTTTGGTCCTTCCAAACTGGGTCATTCTCAGACTTTTTAGCCTCTGTGAAAGTTTTGTGCATTGGATTTGCATTCTTAGTCTTTCATCTGATGCCAGATAAGAACAATCCCTTCGGTGCTTCCAGATTTTCTTCCTGCCCCACTCTTTTTCATGTCCTGTGAGCTGCTTACTCATACATCTCTGTTCCTCCAATTTCATTTGTGATATGGGAGGTAGTGGCAAGTTTCCAAGTTTAGGTATATTTTAAATTTATAATACGTATGGATAACTTGTCCATGAAAATACAAAAATTCCAAAAATTCATGATCAAAAGTACATGAAAAAGCAAGATTATTCATAAGTATATAAAGGAAGATAATTCATAAGTACTTAAAAAATAAGATCATTCCTGTGTTAATAAGATGCTCTGTGTGTTTGACAAAAATTTAATTTTTTTGTTGTTGTTGTTTTTTTTGTTTTTTTGTTTTGTTTATTTCCATGTTTAGTGCATTAGCTCTTTTGCCAAAGTGATTGATAGGAGTATTATCAGTGTAAGAGTGTCTATAAAATTTAATAACAAAAATGTCATTCTTAGAAGTAAAGGTTAAAATTCTGAACATTATTTAGTTGGACAAATTTTGTTTAAAAAAAAAAAAAATTATCACCTCTTTCGTGTTTTGGATGTAGAATTTATTGATATGATCGTTTTGTTCCATTTCTTGGCAAATGCAAATCTCACTCACCTCAGAATGCCTGACTTTGTCAGTGTATCAAGTAACAAAATCTCAAACAATTCTTTTTATTAATTTTCACATAGCGTTTCACTTGATACCAATGTCATTTGTTTGAACTTCTACCCTTACTGGCATTCTGAAAATATCATATATTCATATTCATGGGTTATGTTTTGTCAAACAAAAGTTTTTTGATAGGTTTGATACATATATCATTGGTTATATCAAGACTTGGTGAACTGAAGATATTAATTGTGAATACTTTCATAAGATTTCAGTATTTGTAAACAATATTGAAATATTTTGAATAGCTCAAATTCCAGAGGAAGTGAAGTTATAATATCCGTTAGAAATTAGTTCAATAGTAATGTTATCACCAAATTCTATTCCAAAAAAACGTAATCACCAAATTCTATTGCATATTAATTGTGAAAATATCAATATTGTATTGAGTGTATTGAACTTTCCTCCCATGACATCCTAAAAGGTAATGATATCTCATTGTTCATCAATTGAAAACTAAATATTGAAATTCTATGGAGGAGGAGGCCAACAAGAAATCTTCCATGAAAACTGTTGTATGTATTATCAAATACTATTCCTATTTTAAAAGGCGTGTTGTGAGAATTTTTTCATCATTTTCAGTGTTTACTCAAGTAACATGAGTTAGTGGCTTGTAGTACATTCAATGTTGCCAGGCCAAAAAATGGTAGTTAAATACTTATAATGAGCCATCACTGTCCAAAGGGGAATTTAAGAAAAACTCACTTTGTTTTCACTAAATGAAATCGTAGATTATGTGAAAGGAAAAAAACAATTTCAAAATTATCATAATTACCAATGTGAAAGAATTTTCTTAATCTACATCTTTCAGTGTTTAACTCAAAGTAACATGAGTAGTGGCTTGTAGTACATTCATGTTGCCAGGCCAACAAATGGTAGTTAAATACTTATAATTGTCAGCCGCCATCGACTCGATACCAACACCAGGCAGGATATCATTAAGCAAAAAATATGGACACACACTTTGTATCTCACCTAAATGACCACATACTAAGTAAGATTGACACTCTATCTGAAAGGAAAAACACACATTCATCATCAAATTTATCAATAATATACCCACACAATTCTACAGTGGCTCAAACAAACTCTGAACAAAACTGACAACCCAAGGCCAGGAAGAATAAGATAACAACCAATAACCAAAAATCAGCCTAACACAATCAGATCCAATTTTTCATTCCAAATTAAATATACACAAAACCTACCAGAAATATTAAAAATCATACTCTCTCAGTCAGAATAAGATTAGAAATATTGTTCTGACTTATTATTCAAATGAAATAATCGAAGCTGGAAATAGAATTCACCCCTTTGACAGCCCAGAGCACTGACAAACACAAGCAATGTTTTTAATTTGAAAATCATGAATTTCAAATCTTGTAGATAAACCTGTCAATGTGGTTCGAAAGTACAGATGATTTATTTTGAAATGAGAGAGAGAGAGGAGAACAAAAGGGTTATGT